GGGGGGGGGGGGAATTTTGTTTCAGTTTCCATCCTTATAAATGCAGACAAAGTGCTGAAAGACTTCATTGGAATTAGAGACCGACCGAAAGTGATTTTCTGATTTCGGCCGAAACCGAAACCAGCCCGCAAGTTGCAACCGAAGCAGAAATTCGGTCTTTCTCTAATTGGAATGTCATTGTTGGTGATTACCGCTTAACCAGCAATATCAGCTATTCGATGGTCATGTTTTCTGGGACTACATATACAATTTCAACACGTATAAATTCGACTTTTCAACAAAGATGTGATAAAAAAAAAAAAAAAAGATGTATGTCCTTTCCTTCAACACAAACAAACAAGGGAAATTGATCAATACCAATGTGTTTATGTTTCTATACACAGCAAAGATAGCGTACTGATAACCGTGCATCCACTCACTCACTGTCAATGATAACGTACTGATAGCCATCCACTCACTGTCAATGATAAAGTGCTGTAGCCATCCACTCACTCACTTTCAATGATAACGTACTGATAGCCATCCACTCACTCACGGCCAATGATAGCACACTGATCTCCAAGCATCCACTCACTCACGGCCAATGATAGCACACTGATCTCCATGCATCCACTCACTCACGGCCAATGATAGCACACTGATCTCCATGTATCCACTCACTCACGGCCAATGATAACACACTGATCTCCATGCATCCACTCACTCACGGCCAATGATAGCACACTGATTTCCATGTATCCACTCACTCACGGCCAATGATAACACACTGATCTCCATGCATCCACTCACCGACGGCTTTCATGTATTCGTCGAATCCTTCATTCTTTTCCAGCTTCCAGTGTCCGAGCAGTTGATCCACCATGTTGAACTGGCTAAAACACCGACGAACTGGTTAGACCACCGATGAACTGGTTAGACCACCAATGAATTGGTTACAAAACTGAGGATATTACGAGCAAAAGAAATTTGTAAGCAAATTTTTAACGTAAAAACTGAAGAAAAAAAGATTCGACAAAATTTACGTTTGATCAAATTACCGTCGATCAATTGACCGTCGACGAAATTTCTTTCGATCAAATTTCTGGATACGAAAATAAATAGTATTTTCCTGCACGGTCGCACCACATACCGAAAAGATCCGTTTTGAAAATTTTTGTTTCTTTAGAATTATCTCGCTATTCTTAGTTTATTGAAAACCTTCGGAGCAATTCTATTGATCTACAGCCGAACTCAGTTTACAAAATTTGCGGATTATAAAGAAATGTTCGTTTTAACCCAAAAAATTGAAATACCTGAATAATGTCCTGACAGCTGTCTAATCCTACAGATGGGAGAGTCTTATTTACAGATCAAGGTTGTCTGCTGTCTCGGAGTAGGCTTTAGATTTCCTTGATCTGGGTTATCTGCACTTTGTACTGGCAACTAAATTCTGGGTTTGTTGCACTGACAATGTTATCTGCCAAACAGAAGTGAAAAAAAAAAAGTGTTTGTAGGGTATAGATTTTCATTTGATAGGAGAAACGTTTACTCGAAATAAGAGAGGTCATCTAGAATCAGTGGCGTCAACGAGATGATGGGATCACCCTATAAGACAAGTCTGAAAGGTGCTCCCATTAGACTAAAAAGGCCTGCACAATATTTTTTATTAAAGAAGTGTTTACGTCTCAAACTTTTTTTGTTTTGGTGTAAATAAACTAAATTAAAATAAATGAGCTCTTACCCTTTTTCTTTCATTGCAATAGCATGACAGAGAGTTCAAATGTACAGAAGCAATGTCGTCCCCTTGACCGTGGCCTTTATGCATGAATTGAATATTCCGACGCTCTGATCCCGTTTATTATGCTAGATAATTTAATAATTCTGAAAATTGTCAGTTTAAACATTTTTTTTAATATAGACATAAAAGTGTAAGTACAAATCTAGGGAAACTAGATTATATGACCCGTTGTTACCGGGATAGTAATGGCAGGCATTTTGTGATATTTTCTAACCACTATTGGGAATTCGTTTTTTTTTTTTTATAAAGAAGTATAAATGTATTTATGTTTACTTTACTGACATCATTTAGTTTTGAGAAATAATTATCTGCTATATATTATCTGACTACCTCACCCCATTTTCAACCAATGAACTACAATTTTTAAATCTAAAAATTGTAAAACACGACCTGAAATTTACAACAAACAATCTATAAAAATTTTAAATATGTTTTTTATTAACGGAATTAGATTTTGTTAGCTTCATTAAAAATGTAACCAAACTTTTGCCTTGTTTTTCTACAATACTATTAAAAAAATGAAAAAAAAAAATTCTTTTATATATAGAAGAATATTATCTTAACCATCGTTCGCGTTTGTAACAGCCATGAGTGTCCTTTTATAGAAAAAACCGAAATGTTATTTATCTCATAAAAAAACAACAACAACACCATTTTAATAATTTTAGCAAAGTAAAAACAGAGACAAGTTTTCATTCAAAAAAAAAAGAAAGAAAAAATCTTAATCTATTTTATTAACGCCCATGAACTCAAAAGAAACGAAAACTTTGGCTCTATTTTAAAGACACATTTCACGTATGCGAAATGATTGGGTTTTGATATTTTTTATCTGAGGCATGTGTAAACTTATATAAAAATGAACCCACGTTTTGTCAAGTAACTCCTCTTTTTTCACGACTGTAATTTCATTGGATTTCAAGATAATGTAAAAGTATACACCCTATTTCCTACCCCCAATATCTATGTACTTAAGGTTAATTATTTATCAAAGTCATTGCTTTCTTCTCATGAGTATCTTGTGTTGCTTGGGGCAAAATGAAAGTATCGATTTCCCATTCTGCACAGTTTTAGAATAAATAAATAAAATCATCGACTAATTGACTTAAACGGCATTTTATTATTAAAACACGTTAAGTTTCTGATACTTAATAAATTTGATACAAGTAAATTTTTGGAATAGAAAAAAAAAAAAAAATGATTACATTTTTAAAATACAAAGCTAAAATTTGGTGTGCTTTATTAAGAATTTAAAAAGCAATGAATTATGTTTAAAATTTAATCTTTAAAAATGCGGAAAATACATTTATCATTTTTGTCACTCACGGTTATTTAATGTGAGACATATTGGGTAAAATGTCGTGAGATTTAATGTGAGACATATTGGGTAAAATATCGTGAGATTTAATGTGAGACATATTGGGTAAAATGTCGTGAGATTTAATGTGAGACATATTGGGTAAAATGTCGTGAGATTTAATGTGAGACATATTGGGTATAATGTCGTGAGATTTAATGTGAGACATATTGGGTATAATGTCGTGAGATTTAATGTGAGACATATTGGGTATAATGTCGTGAGATTTAATGTGAGACATATTGGGTATAATGTCGTGAGATTTAATGTGAGACATATTGGGTATAATGTCGTGAGATTTAATGTGAGACATATTGGGTATAATGTCGTGAGATTTAATGTGAGACATATTGGGTATAATGTCGTGAGATTTAATGTGAGACATATTGGGTATAATGTCGTGAGATTTAATGTGAGACATATTGGGTATAATGTCGTGAGATTTAATGTGAGACATATTGGGTATAATGTCGTGAGATTTAATGTGAGACATATTGGGTATAATGTCGTGAGATTTAATGTGAGACATATTGGGTATAATGTCGTGAGATTTAATGTGAGACATATTGGGTATAATGTCGTGAGATTTAATGTGAGACATATTGGGTATAATGTCGTGAGATTTAATGTGAGACATATTGGGTATAATGTCGTGAGATTTAATGTGAGACATATTGGGTATAATGTCGTGAGATTTAATGTGAGACATATTGGGTATAATGTCGTGAGATTTAATGTGAGACATATTGGGTATAATGTCGTGAGATTTAATGTGAGACATATTGGGTATAATGTCGTGAGATTTAATGTGAGACATATTGGGTATAATGTCGTGAGATTTAATGTGAGACATATTGGGTATAATGTCGTGAGATTTAATGTGAGACATATTGGGTATAATGTCGTGAGATTTAATGTGAGACATATTGGGTATAATGTCGTGAGATTTAATGTGAGACATATTGGGTATAATGTCGTGAGATTTAATGTGAGACATATTGGGTATAATGTCGTGAGATTTAATGTGAGACATATTGGGTATAATGTCGTGAGATTTAATGTGAGACATATTGGGTATAATGTCGTGAGATTTAATGTGAGACATATTGGGTATAATGTCGTGAGATTTAATGTGAGACATATTGGGTATAATGTCGTGAGATTTAATGTGAGACATATTGGGTATAATGTCGTGAGATTTAATGTGAGACATATTGGGTATAATGTCGTGAGATTTAATGTGAGACATATTTGGTATAATTTCAGGAAATATATTGTTGACAGGAGACAAGGTGGGGCACTGGTTTAAAGAATGATACTTTTGGGGGTAGCCGCTTTGTGTGAATGGGGCATCCGAGTCGTGGCGCCCCCTTTAGAGGGTGCAAAATCCACATTTGTATTTAAAATATTTGTATTAATATATTACTCGTTATGAAAGGGTTGCCTAAATTCAGATTTTTACCCGGGAAAGAGCTGTAAGAAATCACATTACACACCCCCCTCCCAAAAAACAAAAAAAAACAAAAAACAAAAAAAAAAACAAACAAAAACACTGATTAAATAATACAAAGATAAAATTGTTCGATATATCATTTATTTTCTTTAAAATGTGTTTGAAATATAAAACAGTGTAAAAAAAATAAACATTTAAGTTTTATTATAAATATATACGATTTTTTTTTTACATATTTAATTACAAAAAACAAATTAAGGATAACGTTATCACAGTCTTAGACTTTGACGAATGAGTTAAGGCTAAGTGCCCTAAGCTTGTTCAAATTAAATTTTTCCCAAAATATTAATTTTACAATTCTCCCTTAATGTGATGCTATAAGATTTGTATTGTAAGAATGAGCATGATATAAATAGTTTTTAAAACATTTCATGAATTTATAATCAAAGTTCATAATAATAAATAAATATAATGACTTTAATTAATTTTAAAAGGATTAAAGGTGCAGCTACGTTAAGACATAATAATATATATTTCAGACTTTTCTAAGACTTGAAGACACCTAAAATATTTTGTTTTAAAAACCAGTGGCTTCAGTTCTATACAATTTGGCACGCTGTGAACTTTATAATTTTAATAAGAAGTGATTATTTTTTATGGACAAAAAAAAAAAAAAAAAAAAAGAAAAATATTTGACAGCAGTAGCTGAAATTGAAAAGAGGTTGTTTTTATTCTTTGATGTTTTAAAAGAAGCTCTGTGATTGGTTGAAATCTTGTGTTGGCCAAGAAGATCCTGCTCTAACAACCAATAAAGTTTGAGTTAATATTTTAGGGTAATCAACACTTTAAATTGGCGAAATATTGATTTTCATAAATGTTGATGAATTAAAAAAAAGAAGAAGAAGATGAAACAATTAGAAGCAAAGATAAAAAACATTAAAAATGTGTGCATCATTTAATACGTATATTTTTAGTACATTGGCATTTAAAAAAAGAATTAAACTTCTTACATTGCTTTCATTACAAAAATAAAAATATCACTAAGTTTGGAAATGAATGTTCTTTAGAGATCATTAGTTTTATAATATTATGTTGTTGTTGTTTTTTTTTCCCTATAAATGACGATTTTAGAGGTTGTACCGGCCCTTGACACCTTTCACGTAAGACACGGAAGAAAACTTCACGAAACAAAATGAAATAGTTTAAATTTTGGCTATCGGAGCTAGGGTCATCTTGACCACCCCTGGTTTATTGATCGTCTTTAAGAAGGCATCTCTTTGGACAGGGTGAAGATGGAGCATTTCTCGGTGGCCATCTGGTTGTGAAGGCTGCGGAACTTGGAGTAGGTCTCTGTCAAGGAAGATTAGAAAGTGAAATGGGAATTGTTAGGTAGTGAAGGCCATTTCATTAAAAATGTCCTGTAAGATAAGGAATAGTAAAAAAAATAATAATAGAGTTCATTGTTATGAAATCGGTTGTTCGTTTAAGACAGAAAATAAAGAGCTTAATTTTAAAGGATCCGCTCTTGTGGTGACGTATTGATACAACGGGTAATCAAATATTACTACTGTTTGTGATGCAGTAAACAATGGATAATCTAATTTTCCGATTTGTGGTGGCGTATTAAGACAATGGGTAATCTAATATTACTACTGTTTGTGACAGCGCAAAACAATAGGTAGTCTAATATTACTATTTGTACTCCAAATTCCTTTAAGTGCCAATGTTTCATGTCAAACGCATTAATCGAAGCATACGCGAAGTACAGTACTTTATCCATCTAGAATTATTATAAATTAAATTACACCTTTGTGTTTATTATGGTAATGATGCCAAGAAAGGTTTTAATTTTTCTTTTCATAAAAATTTAAATATAAGTAAAAAAAGGGGGGGGGGGAGGGAAATCGGTAATGCAATAGTTTGGAGCTAATCAAGTGGATTGCTGGGATCGGTGCTGTCCCCTTTTTCGCGAGACGATTTTTTCAATTTTGACTTTTCTACATAATATCTTGCTAATTTTTAACACTTTCTAACGGACTGCTTTCTAAAATTAACTAAGCAATGTTATAATAAAATATAAACATATATGACGTAAAAAAAAAAAGGCTGCTGACAAGTGTTCAAAGTGAAGTGCATTGTTGCCTTATGGCCAGCACACACCCGAGTAAACACGTCACCAGAGGTCAATTGTAAGAGTGAAACAAGGGGATACAAAATATACACATGGAAAAGTTTGTCAACTGTTAAGTCTGTGGGCCCTACCGTCGTTGGTCATCCAGTTGAGATGTTCCAGGCCCTGGAAGAGATGGCACGTGACTATGGAATTGGGCGGGTAAGTATGACGTCTCAAACTCCTCCGGTCATGGGATCCATAGGAGCAGACGACGAAAGGCATGGCGCCATTCTTGTACAGGTAGCTCTCAAATGGTTTCTGAAGGAAACACGCTTAGTTCTTGATTAGATTTCCTAGATGAGCTTATTTTGTAAATTGATGAATAGTGTGACGATGTGGCCCATAAATTGCTTTTCCAAAATGTTTGACCAATTGTGAAATTAGAATTACTTACACAACTTTACTTCATTATCTTTGGTCTTTCCGAAGATTTCTAATTTGTAACTTTTAAAAATCTTTTATATTTTCAAACTTCAAAACACTTCATTGTAAAGATTTTTAAGAAAAAACAGGATTTTTCATATGGCAAAAATTTATTTTATTAATAAAAATAATAAGATTCACGTTAAGATCTTACAACTAAAAGAGCAGATACTAATTAAATTAGTTAGAACACCAAGATCCCTTTCTGTTGTTGTTGTTGTATTGATGAAGGCATTTGCCGAAACGTTACCAAAAAGCATATCAAAGAATAAAAACATGTCTCTTACACAAATACGTCACCAATACAAAACACACAGCAACAGCTACACAATTAATCGCCACGCAAAACACGCTCACGAACAAAGCAAGTATACAAATACAAAATACAAAATCACACACGCGCTCATTGAATAACTCGTTAACAGTTACACTTTGTAAGAAAGTACATTTTTTTGAACTGCTATACAAATTCAGTTGTACTTTCAACATTGATACAACCACATGAGAGCAGTGACGGTTACAACTCCATACCATTGACCACGCTCATGTTCGCGTTATCAGCGTTCAGAACATAAATCTCACCTGGAAACTTTCGAAGAATTCTCGTTTGTCCTTGCCGCTGTGTAACTCAACTTCTGATAACAAGAAGGTGTTGAACACTGAGGATGGAGATGACGAGAGTTTGAGCCCCTATACACGATTGCGGTAAATCCAGAAACTCCAGGTTACGGCCGCCATCTTGGTTGCCACTACCCGAGAAATGTCAATCCTAACCCTAACTAACCCAAACCCTAAGCCTAAACCTAAAACTTAACCTAAGCCTCACCCTAGCACTCAGTTTAAGCCTAACCCTAAACTTAAGCCTAACCCTAACACTAACCCTAAGCCTAAAACTAAGTCTAACCCTAAGCCTAACCCTAAGCCTTACCCTAAGCCTAACCCTAACCCTAAGCAAAACCATAACCCTAACCATATGCCTAAGCCTAACCCTTACGCTAACGTAACCCAACTCCTAACCATAAGCCTAAGCCTGACTCTAAGCCTAACCATAGGCCTAACCCTAAGCATAACCTTAATTCTAAGCCTAACCCTAAACCTAACCCAAATCCTTACCCTAAGCTTAACCCTTACCCTTAGCCCAAGCCTAACCCTAATCCTAAGCTCTAACGCTAAACGTAACTCTAAGCTTAACCCTAACCCTAACCCCAACTCTAAGTTTAAGCCCAAAGCTAAGCCTAACTTTAAGCCTAACCCTAACCCTAATACTAACCCTAAATTTAACTCCAACCCTAACCCTAATACTAACCCTAAATTTAACTCCAACCCTAACCCTAACACTAACTCTAACCCTTAGCCTTACCCTAAGCCTAAACCTAAGCCTAAGCCTGACCATTATCCTAGGCCTAACCTTAACCCTAACCCTAAGTTTTAGCATAAACCTAAGCCTAAAACGAACACTAACCCTAAGCCTAACCGTAACACTAACCCTAACCCTAAGCCTAACCCTAAGCCCAAGCCTAACCCTAACCCTAAGCTAAACCCTAACCCTAAGCCTAACCCTAAGCCCAAGCCTAACCCTAACCCTAAGCTAAATCCTAACCCTAAGCCTAACCGTAAGCCTAAACCTAACACTAGCCATAACCATAAGCCTCTAAGCCTTACCCTAACTCTAAGCCCTAACACTAAACTTAACCTTAATCCTAAGCTAAACCCTAAACCTAACTTTAACTCTAACCCTAAACCTTACCCTAAACCTAACCCTAACCCGAACCCTAACCAGTGAAAGGTCAATCGTAACCCTAAACCTATTAAGTTAAATAAACACGTAATATGACGTCATGGCGCGAAATGTCTGATTTTGCCCATTTTGTTTATTTTAGGTTTGTAGTGAATAGGGTTGGTCATCTCTAAGACCGGAAACGTCACATTGTATCACGTAATGTTACTATTTTTAGACAACATTTTCGTAAAACATAGTTTCTAACGATGTATTTCCTGATCGATATATTATATATAGCTTGAAAAATTTGTTTGTAAAATCTTTCGTCAAATAAAGTTGTAAACACGTTTCAGTCTAGCTTCAAACCCCACCATGCTGGCTCGCATTGACGTAAGGGTTACCGAACAGCTGTTGAGAGATTGGCCAAACGGAACACCAGGATTTTCTGAAGTCTCCGCCCTGAAGTTCTATTAATAGATTTCCGGCATTAGATGACAAACCATATATGAAGATTTAAAAAAAAAAGAAACTTTCTACATCTGGCCTCTAAAGGTATGCTGGTGCAGGGAAGGATTATATGTGTGCCGGGCTGCAAATATTAGTACAGAATTTTCTCGCAGGTGTTGTGGAAATAGCTCACCAGTCACGGTGCTATAGAAAGATCTTAAAAGCCAAGGTGCTGTGGAAAGAGCTTAATAGCCCAGGTGCTATGGAAAGAGCTTAATAGCCCAGGTGCTATGGAAAGAGCTTAATAGCCCAGGTGCTATGGAAAAAGCTTAATAGCCCAGGTGCTATGGAAAGAGCTTAATAGCCCAGGTGCTATGGAAAGAGCTTAAAAGCCCAGGTGCTATGGAAAGAGCTTAAAAGCCCAGGTGCTATGGAAAGAACTTAAAAGCCCAGGTGCTATGGAAAAAAGCTTAATCGCACAGGTGCTATGGAACGAGGTTAATAGCCCAAGTGCTGTGGAAAGAGCTTAATAGCCCAGATGCTATGGAAAGAGCTTAAAAGCCCAAGTGTTGTGGAAAGAGCTTAATAGCCCAAGTGCCGTGGAAAGAGCTTAAAAGCCCATGTGCTATGGAATGAACCTAACTCCCCAGGTGCTGTTCTTACGGTGCAGGTTGTCCGGGAGGTAAGCGTTGCAGACGATCCACATCTCCGCGTGCCCGTAGGGGGGTGGGAAGTCAGGCTGCCTGATGATGGGGTCCATCTGGAAGAAAAGGAAAGCCTTGTCCATGTTGGGGAAGTGGTACACCCCAATGGCCTCCGTTGGACCTTTCTCGTAGCCGAAGTCGAAAACCTGTCGATGAGATGTAAGCTTAGTATACAGGGATTCGTGGATTTGCTCAGAGCGGAGGTGGAAATGATTTGGGGGGGGGGGGGGGGAGGAGTTCAAAATGTAGTGTTCAAAAGAGTAACGTTCAAATTGTCAATTCAAGTCTCTGAATGATACCCTTTAAGACTAGTTTTGGCTACAAGTCAATGAAGAAAACCTCCATTTCATTAAATACATGTCTTTCAGTTAAGTAGAGCCACTGGTTATGCAATAAATACTAACTCTGTCCGCGTTAAGTAAAATATTAGATCGCCACATCACAGCCACACCACGCGCGCTCCTCCCACACACAGGAGGTGACCCACCTTCTTGGCCAGTCCCAGGAATCGCCCTCCGTTGTCGTGAGTCTTGGACTTGAGGAAAGCGTGTGCTGCTACTTGCACGTTTTCACCTTGGCCGACCGGAAATCGGATGAATAGCAGGGCGCCTCCGTTCTAGTAGAGTTAAGGTATATAAAAAAAATAAAAAAAATACTCATTGTGACCTTTCAACTCAAGATGCACACCACTTCTCATACGAGGAAATGATCAGCGTCACATTTTTTTAAGATTGTTCCACTGCGGTAGGCTTTGAATTAGATTAATGAGACACTCATAATTTGTGTAAATAAAACAATACCGGTTAAGCTTTACGAAGCGGCTATTCGTACCCGGGTACCAGAAATGAGAGGTTGGATTAAAAAAAAACTATTTAAATTGTATTGTTGGGTTTATAAGACAAATTGAGGTATCAAATGAAAGATAATTGAATGGACTTTATGTATGTAAACTTAATTCTTCAGTTAAACTAAAATAAACGACCACAAATGACATCCGAATAGCACTGAGTCAAATTGGACCCAGACACGCAGCGCCGCCATTCGCACCAGGGTACCATTAGACTCAAGACCCAATTATCTTTCATTTGACCTACCCTGCTTCCAACGAGTCCCATTCCATCATAATGTCCACCTATACGGGGGTCCATGAGGTCACTTTGACGGTCCTTGGCTCTCTGTGTCCATGGGTTGGCTCTGGAGAGAGGGGGGAGGCATGCAGAATTGTAGAACTTTGAAGTTAAATGTCATTTATATACAATGTTAGTTACCAGGGATTAAACCGAAATCGTTTAACTTGATTGGAAACAACTTGTCATCAATACTTCATAATGAAACATCAAACACGCAGTCAGGGAGTCAACGACGCAAATCATTTTGATTTTGATCCCCTAGTAACAAATATTTGAACCGCGAAGTCAAAACAAATTCAGACAATATAATTGTGAAAAATCTTTGACAGCATGCCTGTGTGTAAATCTAATGGAGACGTCCGGATAATTCTAACTTGAGGTAAGAATCTACTCGATCAACCGAACACGGCGTGAATTCGATATAGCGTCAGATGTTGTTCCTCTAAGTATTAAAAACTAACTTCGAGACAAAGAGAAAATTTCAGAATAGTCCAGCGGCTCTAAATGTGTGGGTCGCGACCCCTTTGGTGTCGAGTGATCCTTACACAGTGGTCGGTCAACACCATAGGAAAACACAGATTTATGAAGTAGCGAAGAAAATAATTTTATGGTTGGGGGTCACTACAACATGAGGAACTGCATTAAAGGGTCGCGGCATTAGGAAATTTGAGAATCACTGAAGCAAACCCTTGGAACTGTTTATGTACCAATAAGAGAACGGATGAGTTTTTAAAGAAACGTAATTCTTTATGTTGTTGCCATTTTGAAATGGGGTTTGAGGGTTAAGGGAGGGGGTACTTTTAAAAATTGAGTTGATCAACTTTACGTTTTTACAATACTATCACGACTAACTAATTTATTTATATTTCGTAACGTGTTCTAATTACCGCCTTACCGTAATGGAAGGCGTCATTATTTGTTTACCTGTAGGAACGATCGGTAGCGGCCGCTGGCCTGTCTGTGTAGGGGGCTCCTCGGGGTGAAGGTCGATCCTGGTAGCCTTGGTACGATCCGTTGTTCTGGCGGTACTGCAGGAAATGATTGCATGAGGAGAGAAATTTAGAAATCAGATCTTATATCGATGACCACATTTGGTGTTATGTCATGGGTCAGTTCTACACACCGCAGTGACGGAATCGGTCGTGGCTAACTCTTTAGCGAATTGTTTGTCTATTATTTTAATGAATGACGTTGGGGGATATCCTCAAGGTATGTGTGTTGTCACGATAGAACTAAGGTTCGTGGGTTGCTAGGGTAGCACTAAGGTTGGTGGGTTGCTAAGGTAGTACACATGTTGGTGGGTTTTTAGGGTAGCACCAAGGTTGGTGGGTTGTTAGGGTAGCATCAAGGTTGGTGGGTTGTTAGGGTAGCACTAAGGTTGGTGGGTTGTTAGGGTAGCACTAAGGTTGGTGGGTTGTTAGGGTAGCACTAAGGTTGGTGGGTTGTTAGGGTAGCACTAAGGTTGGTGGGTTTTAGGGTAGCACTAAGGTTGTTGGGTTGTTAGGGTAGCACCAAGGTTGGTGGGTTGTTAGGGTAGCATCAAGGTTGGTGGGTTGTTAGGGTAGCACTAAGGTTGGTGGGTTGTTAGGGTAGTACACATGTTTGTGGGTTTTTAGGGTAGTACACATGTTGGTGGGTTTTTAGGGTAGTACACATGTTGGTGGGTTTTTAGGGTAGCACCAAGGTTGGTGGGTTGTTAGGGTAGCATCAAGGTTGGTGGGTTGTTAGAGTAGCACTAAGGTTGGTGTTTTTTTAGGGTAGAACTAAGGTTGTTGGGTTTGTTAGGGTAGTACACATGTTGGTGGGTTGTTAGGGTAGCACTAAGGTTGTTGGGTTCTGGGGTAGCACCAATGTTGGTTGGTTATTTTGTTAGAGTATCACTAAGATTGGTGGTTGTTTGGGTAGTACACATGTTGGTGGGTTGTTAGGGTAGCACCAAGGTTGGTGGGTTGTTAGAGTAGTTTTAAGGTTGGTGGGTTGTTAGGGTAGCACTAATGTTGGTGGGTTGTTAGGGTAGCACCAAGGTTTGTGGTTTTTTTAGGGTAGCATCAACGCTGTTGGGGTGTTACGGTAGCACCAAGGCCGGTGGGTTGTTAGGGTAGCATACAAATATCGTGGCGACATAGTTTGTGACATGCGTGCGCGTCCAGGCCAAGGATGATTGAGAATGGATGACGGATGACCTTCAATGAAGGTCTACTTACGTCCCTGAGGTCCTCTTGACTTCCTCTCAAGTTTCCCAGCTGCAGCTTCGTGTCGTCACCATGGTTACTCTCCGGTATGTGCATCTGTGTGGTGTTGTAGTCTGGCGTTGGTGGGTCTTTGGGTCTGGGGACCTGAAAAAGTGGGATAAGGCGTCAATCACTTTAGTCTAGGACCCTGGGTTTACAATGAGTCTTTTAATCTCCAGGTCAGAGGTCAAAAGTGGTTTGTCTTTTGAACGGTGAACAGAATGTTTATAGACTGGGCGTCAGAATGTTCTTGCACTTGGGGGGGGAGGGGGGGTAAAGATCTGTATTTTAACTTTGGGTCGGAATATCTTGTTACTGAGAGTCGGAAGTATTTAGACTGGGGGACAATATGCCCTTTGACCGACCGGTGGTAAGTATCAGTCAATTTAGTTGCATCTAAGGTAACAAATAATTCCTCAGACTGCCGATGTCATTACCCAGATAAAACTTGATCCCATTATTCAGTTATCATATGAAATGGATGATAATGATCTCGAAGGCTCGGTTGCATGTGCTACTCTAACTCACCTTTGCAGCACCATAGTTTAGGTAAGCGAAACTGATTGTTGTCTACCTGAAGTTATTGCTTAAACACCACCAACATTGCAGCTACTTACCTTTACTTCGCCCGCAGTGATTTTACCAACATGGCTATCAGATTTGTCTACAGGCTTATCAGCATTGTCTGATTTAGCTTCAGTGATATTAGATTTAGTATCACCATTATCAGAATTTATCATCAGCGATATCGGGATTATTATCCGCTATATCAGGATTATCATTAGGACGATCATCCTGAGTCAAGCAAGGCGCAGCGGTAGTGTTAGGGTATAAAATGAAAGAAAGGGAGGCTATGTGTTAGTATGTATGAAAATTAAATATATTACCTCCCTTAGACTTAACTGAAAATTACATAGCTGTATTTTTTTAGGAGCGGGGAAAAGCAGAAAAATGAGAAGAATAAAATAAAATAAAAAAACAAATGAAAAGAAGTTTTAAAAGATTTTAAAAAATAATAAACGTAAAAAAAAATTATACATTCACTTTTGTTAAATAATAAACAAAATTCTATTGTTATTGCGAATTGTATCAAATCCTATTTTAAAAAATAAAATACTTAAAATATATTTTTTTACAACACACAAAATATATAATAATTAACTAAGTAACATAATACAAAAATGAAACACCTCAAAGGTTTTTTTAATTAGTTCTTATAAAATACATGTAGTTATTTAAAAAAATTAAATTTATAGTTTATAATATCCATCACTTTAAACTAGAAGAATTTTGTTAGGGTCAATTTAGTCTCTTTGTAAAGAGGTGACTCATTCGCCTTCCGATGTCTTAAACAAAAACCAAGAGCCCTATGTTAAGAACCGCTGATGCAATGAAAGGATAATATGCATTGTACAACACACCCCATTTTAATAGGTATAGAACAGCTTCGTAGAAGAGCTAATAGTAGAAGTAACGCTATGATATAACACCAATTATTTGTGAATCCAAAATCTCGACATAGATCATGATGTGGACAGACAAGCACATCCATGCGCCAAAAAATAGAGTACTGAAACTCGCGCATCTTGAGAGCGGACGTGCGTGTTTGTCACCGGTGCACAGCTCCAGCCATCACGTGTTCCCCGGGGGTGTCAAAGAAGTTGTATGGGGAGTTGGTGTTGGAAATGGGTCTCGCTACAAAAGCATTTTTTAAAAAATAGTTGGGCACTATATCCACTGGTATGTCAGGAAATAAGTGGCACCAAGTAACACAGTAATGGTTTCTATTGTTACGAAATTTTACCGTCATGGATGTGTAGTGTGTCAGAGGAAGTCTGGTCGACCAACGAAGATTTCGTTAGTGAGAACCAGGCCAGTTTTTCCAGAAGGTGCTGCGTTCACACCCTACGAAATCCAAGAGGAGCATCTTTCAATTTGAACATCTTTCAATTTGAACATCTTTCAATTTGAACATCTTTCAGTTTGAACATCTTTCAATTTGAACATCTTTCAATTTGAACATCTTTCAATTTGAACATCTTTCAATTTGAACATCTTTCAATTTGAACATCTTTAAAACTGAAAATCTTTCAAACTTTTGTCGACTGTTTAAGATCATGGATACATTTTTTAACACCGCATCCAGGTTGGACAACACTTGACGAAGCCAGATCTTTGAGCCATGATGATATATTGTTGCGAATTCTGGCTTTGGTGTACGAGGATCCAGTTTTCCACAAGGGTGCGTGATTCTCCGAAGAAAGTAAACATTAACTTACCAGCCGATCTGATTTCTTTACTTCCACATTTGTTTTCAAACCCGTTCACCATGTATGTTCATTAACGTGTGAGGGGGGGTGGTTGTGGGGGGGGGGAGTATTGCTCAGCTATCAAACATTTTCCTGGTAGACAGACCCATTGCCAACAGCAGCTGCCCAACATACAACAGTCAAACACAAAACTGTCCAACATTCGGCCTACAAACGTACAACTGTCCAAGATACGACTGTCCAACATACGACCGCCCAACATACGACAGTCCAGCATACGACTGTCCAACATAAAACTGCCCAACATACGACCGTCCAACATACGACTGTCCTATATACGACTGTCCTATATACGGCTGTCAAACGTACAACTGTCCGAGATATGACTATCCAACATACGACCGTACAACATACCACTGTCCAACATACGACTGTCCTATATACCACTGTCAAACGTACAACTGTCCAAGATACGACTATCCAACATACGACCGTCCAACATACGACTGTCCAGCATACGACTGTCCAACATACAACTGTCCAACATACGACTGTCCAACATACGAATGTACAAAATACAACCGTTGCCTTTTCGCTAGACACGTGACGGCTGGAGCTATGCACAGGCAAGTTTTAGATAATAGGAAGGAAAAACAAAAACAAAACAAATATGGAATCATGCTAAAATTAGATTTCATTACTTTGTTAAAAAAATTACATTTGAAAAAAGAAATTAGAAAATAAAATGAACTAAAACTTTATGAAATATACAGAAAAGCTTTGTTGAAATATCAGGGGAAGACAATCACCTCAGTCCGTTGCCATATTTGTGGCCCTTGAGAACTTCCATTCAGCCCTCCATAAGAATTGTAGTTGTTCTGTCCCGGGCGATATAAGGGCGATACGGGCACGTGGTTTATTCGACCAATCGTCCTCCTGAAGGGGTCATGACCTTTGGCCAAGCTGTACCGGAGACTTGCGTCTTTCCCTTCGGCCAATTTCGGATCATTCTGGGATTCGGTGTGACGTAGAAAAGTGACAATATACCATTAATAGCTTGTATTTGAATGACAGCGACCGACCTCTTCCAAAGGTCCTCAAAATTAAACCCATGAGGCATAACAATCATAAGGCAATTTAAAAAAAAATGATTTATTATTATTTTTATTTAAACAATTTTTTTTAATGTTTTCATTACAACAAATTAAGAAAAATATTTGTCTTTATTTGATTGTAACTTTAAAAATTACAAGTTCAATAATTCACACCTTGCGTACTCATATTTTTAAAATGTAATAATAAATAAACACTACGGAATAATTTTTTTTTTCTTTTCGTAACTAGTCAAAATGACCAAAATGCTCATCATTTTACCATATTTTTACCACTCTAAGTTATCCAAAACTAACAAACACTAATCACTAATCTAATACTGCAGTTAAAATAAATAAATATACTTTGGTCAAACTCCAGTTGTGGAAACAAAACTTATGGGGCATTCAAGTGTGCTGAAAATTTATCCTGCCGTTAAACTAAAAAGTTCGACTTTTTAAAAGTGAGTGTGTGAGGGGGGGGGGGGGTAATTGCTGGTTTACATTAGGAACTAAATTTTTAAAGAAATTAAACCTCTTAATGACACATTTGATGATTGAAATTTAAAATTTAAAAAAAAAGTAAAATTTAAAAATTAAAACGTTAAACTAAAAAGTTCGACTTTTTAAAAGTGAGTGTGTGAGGGGGGGGGGGGGTAATTGCTGATTTACATTAAGAACTAAATTTTTAAAGATATTAAACCTCTTAATGACACATTTGATGATTGAAACTTAAAACTTAAAAAAAACGTATAATTTAAAAATTAAACATAAACGAAAAATTACTATATTTCTACTAAAATTGTAGAAACTGAAATTTCTATAGGCCCTGTGTTATCTAATCACCAATCTTTCATATTTCAATTTAGTTTACCTTAGACAATGAGGTGTAATATAAAAAATATTTATATGCAGGTACAAAATATAAAATTACATTTTTTTTTGGTGTATCTATACATTTTTAAAATAAAAATTACCTGTCAATAAAATGTGGCGTTTACTACACATAAATATTTATACATTATAAATGCGAGTACTATAAATACTTTCACGACACAACGATGTTTTACATGCACTACATTTACTAGTGTATAATTTCTTGTCCAACATTCCTCTACAAAAGACTATACAGAATGCACTGTTTCTCATGCAAAAAAAAAAAATTAGATAAAGCAAATTACTAAACACAACTAGTAATTATATCAAGTTACACAATGCTACAGTGAAGTTTTATGAAGTTACGCACTATTACGTGACGTGCAACAAGTTGTAACATCCCATGCTATAAATTCAGTTTACTGCTTGAGTATAGTATAATTAAACAGTGCACTACTTTTTAAGGCGTAAGCATCAAGAAAGATCTACAAATTGCGTCCTTATATTCCCACAGAGAGTCTAAAAGTTATGTGTATTGGAAACACAATGTTTTGGGGCAGTACACGGTTATCAAGGCCAAAAAACAACAAAAACAACAACAGCAACCCCTCACAAGTTAAATAATTATTTTTTAATAACATCAAATTGAAATGCTCTCATATTTTTACTGAACGCGTCTCATGAAGAAAATGTGTTAATATCTTTGGAGACTGGCTAGCAGGTGTGTTGTAATTCAGTCTCAAATGTGTTGTGAGAAAAATGTATTTAGATAATAATAGTTGTTTTTTTGTTTTTTTTCGAAAATTAAATTTAAAAACATCGATTATTCGAAACTGTCAGAATCACAACACGCCGCATGCATTGTTATACAAACAAGAAGTGAAATAGAATTGTTTGAACAAAAAATTTACGTAACAAAATAGAAACGAAGAACGAAAAAATGGGTTACTTAAAAATAATTGAGCTCACGCCAGGCTAGATCAAGGAATACTTTGAAAGTTATGAAACATGCTCGAATATTTATATATGTCCATACCGTCTAGAATAGAAAGTGGCGACACGTGTGAGGACATTTTGAATGTTAGGAATAACTGCACTAAGTTGATGGCTAAATGTTGATGTAATGCAAAGAAGAATGGAAATATTTACCAGCAGTTGCCAGAACATCGTGCTTTTAAAAATCACTAAGCGCATGAATACAAAATGGCGTGCAGGGCTGAACAGCCGACACCGAACTACATTATTGAAAATTCCGGTTGTTATATGAGAGATACGGCGTCAACAAAGAAAACGTGATACTCTTAACAAATGGTGCAGGAGTTAAAAATGAATAGCACTGGGTGCTTTTACAAGCTGCAGTACCACGTGACACCTAGAGGGACCGAGTGGCGTTAGCAGTTTACGTTGGGTGGGGGGGGGGGGTGTTGCGTATGTTAACACTGGTTACGACACAAGACGAAACAATGTGTTGATGGCAGGTCAACCTGGTAAGATTACACCACAGGTCAACCTGGCAAGACTACAGCCACAGGTCAACCTGACAAGACTACAGCCACAGGTTAACCTGGTAAAACTACAGCCACAGGTCAACCTGGCAAGACTACAGCCACAGGTCAACCTGGCAAGACTACAGCCACATGTTAACATGGTAAGACTACAGCCACATGTCAACCTGGTAAGACTACAGCCACATGTCAACCTGGAAGATTACACACCAGGTCAACCAGGCAAGACTACAACACAGGTCAACCTGGCAAGACTACACCACAGGCCAACCTGGCAAGACTACACCACAGGTCAATTTGGCAAGACTACACCACAAGTCAACTTGGCAAGACGACATCACGGGTCTTAACCGGCAAAACTACACCGGGTTAATGTAAAGAAACTTATTTTTATCTTGTCGTTATACGCAGTGGAAATCTTTGTTTCATTCTGCTACTTAAAAAACTTATGTTTTCGAATAACTTTACAATTCGGACTTGGCCAATTATTTAAAAAACTTTAAAAAAACACACAAAAAAACACCTTTTAAAAAAAGTAACTGCCAATCTTCACTAGTCGAAAACTTCACCTAAAAAAATCAAAAGGAACACGCCAATTTGATATTTTAAGTCGCAAGAATTTTTTTTCCAGCCAATAAAATCTACAAGCACCATAACGCTCACATACAACACCCAAAAGCTAGCACCAGCACCAAAAGCTATCCCCAGCACCAAAAGCTAGCACCAGCACCAAAAGCCAGCACCAGCACCAAAAGCTAGCACCAGCACCAAAAGCTAGCACCAGCACCAAAAGCTAGCACCAGCACCAAAAGCTAGCACCAGCACCAAAAGCTAGCACCAGCACCAAAAGCTAGCACCAGCACCAAAAGCTAGCACCAGCACCAAAAGTTAGCACCAGCACCAAAAGCTAGCACCAGCACCAAAAGCTAGCACCAGCACCAAAAGTTAGCACCAGCACCAAAAGCTAGCACCAGCACCGAAATAGCATAGTGTGAATTATGTGCAAGATGTGGGTTCCAAGTTCGGCGTGCTCTTAAGATGACGTCATGTGAGAGTTACAGAGTGATCGCAAAACAAAAAAATATGTGCAAGGACATTACCAAACGGCCCGCTTCAAACGGCTCCCTTTCTCTAACCCGGGGGCACCCCCATGGCGTGGCTCCCCGCGCCCACATTTGGAGACGCTGCTGGCACGTACAGCGGCGAGGCTGGCAAATGGTCTCTGTGTTGAATGGGTGGCAGTGATACGCCCTTTTCCTTATGCCTGGCTACGGGAGGGTGCTCCTAAAGTACACACGTGTAGATAGGATACCACACAACACCCAACGACTCTTTGATATGAAATTTAAAATGCCAACGACCTACAATGTCAGGTCATGTAAAAATCGCTTAAGACAGGGCCTGGTATGTATTGAAATGTGAGGCAAGCTACTTAAAGTCCCAAAAATTCACATATTTACTTCATGGAAATTCTTGTATTCTTTACACAGCCTGGCATTTTTTGCACATATTTAATGTTTAAAAAAAAACTGTTTCAAGTTAACACAGCCATGTTTAAAAAAGTCAGAATATTCTCTCGTCAACCCATCACAATAAAATCATTGCATTTTGTGATAAAAACATGACAATTGTCAGAAGCTTTGATAAAAAAGTAAAAACAAAACAAAAAAACAAAGCACCAAAAATTAAAAAGAACAATAGAACAAAATAAGACTAAAAGGAAATGATGTTCGAAAAATTAAATGAGACTGATCATATCAAAGCATTACAAAACACAGCGAAAAGCAACGTGCGTAAAAATTAATAAAAATTAATAATAAACAACCCAAAGAAACAAACGTTTGTTTATATATAAATCCTTTATATCCATTTTTTGATTGCATTTATGCATTTGCACGTGATTTATCATTTCTTAAGAAGCGGTAATGTAGATGGGTAAACTCCAGGCGAGGACATGTTTCAAAATTCCTGTACCGTCTCCTTCAAAATACATTTTTTTAAACTGAATATTCAAATACTTCACAAATACAAAGCACACAGCAACAGCTGCACAATTAATCTCCACACCATAACACGCACTTATTGAACAATGCATTAACGTATCTCCCCCCTTTCTCCCCCACCCTAAAATACACGAAAAATTTATTTTTTAAGGGTTAGAGGGTGGGGCTGAAAATTGGATAGAATGTGTTGTCATGGACAAAGAGTCTATGTGCCAAGTTTCAGCTCAATGAGATGACCGGAAGTGGGTCATTTAGCCTTTCGAAGATTTCGCCTCAAACACACGAACAAAAGCGAAGTTAATATAAGACTGCGACTATTCGCACCCGTGTACCAGAAGTGAGAGGTTGTGATTAAAAAACTATTTAAAAATTTGATGTTTGGGTTTGTAAGACAAATTGAGGTATCAAATGAAAGATAATTGAATGGACAATATATTTGTAAACTTACTTCTTCAGTGTAACTAAAATAAACTACTACAAATGACATCCGAATAGCTTGAGTCTAATGGTACCCGGGTGCAAATGGCAGCACTGCTGGACCGGGTCCATTTAGACTAAATGCTATTTTATAAACACAATTTCAAAACATAATGTTGATTCATCTGGCATTAATTTTTATTTAATATTATAGTTGAGACTTCAACCAGTTTCAAGCAACCTACCTTTACAAACCTATACACCAGTTTCAAGCAACTTACCTTTACAAACCTATACACCAGTTTCAAGCAACTTACCTTTACAAACCTATACACCAGTTTCAAGCAACCTACCTTTACAAACCTATACACCAGTTTCAAGCAACTTACCTTTACAAAAGTACCTAGCAGTGTCAATATAATTCCCCTAAGAGAGTTAACCACTACGTGACATTGCAAAGGTTTTGTTAAGGAAATGTCAAATTTAAGTAAAAAACAACGATTGTTACAAATGAGAGTTCATTGTGGCTGTGATTAGTTAGTCAAAATCGATACGCGATCTAAAAATGTAATCGATACTGGAAGGAGAGCGTGCAATTCTTTGCGTGGGGAAAAAAAAAAAATTAAAATGTAACAATTAGAACTAATTATTTTTTAAAATCGACGAAAGCTAATGTAAAAAAAAAAAGCCAACTATGTTTAAATGAAGTGTAAGCTTGAAAAGTAATTAATTAATGATCTGTTAAAGAAGACAGAAATGGTTAAAGCTAATAGCTACATCTAGCTGGTTATAGCTGTAAAAGAGCTGTGACTGAAGAATAATATTATGGTATAAAGTCTGGCCAAAAAAATAATTCACTACTTCATTACCAGCTTTTAACACACCCATTGGAGAACAGACCAACCCGTTGATGTTCTCAAACTTAACGCAGTTCGAATCCTGATTCTTGAACAAACTTGAAGAATTGTCTTCTTAAAACGAGGAATGTTCCAAATAGATTTTGTCATTATGTTAATCTTCGGTAGAGCAGAGCTAATCAAAGTGGCGGTCCGTGGACTGGCAACGGCCCGCCGCCTCTCAGTTAATGGTCAGCGAGGTTTTGAATGATTGAAAAATGAAGTAAACGACTTTATAAGTAAGGCATGTAATAGAATGCACTTGAAAATGACACAATTGGAAAATGAACTAAAGTCTGTGCCCAAAGTTTCTATACATTGAAAATGAAGTCCTTCAAGTTGGAAGGCTAAATAAAAGTTACCTCATAATCTGCGCCTCCACCGATCCAGTCTCGTCTGCCCCCCTGGGCACTGCCGTAGCGAGGGTCGACACCCCCTTGACCCCCCGGCCTGTACAGAGGCGAGGCCGGCACGTGATGCTCGTGTTTGATCTGATCGTTGGGCGCCCGGACGTCTCTGGGAAATTCTACTTCCTGTCTTTGGGACAAGGGCTGGGGCGCCTAAATTGAAATTGTAGGGTGGAAGAAATTTCATTTTTTGCTTATTTACGAATATTTGACAAATCTGACACTTAGACGACCTGTTGAACTTAAGGTGGACTTATTTTTAGCAATCAGTGGAACGTTCTAACACATAGTCGACCTAGTCACCAATGGGCCTTTCTAAGACTTAGTGGAACTTTCTAACACTTAGAAGGCTTAACAGTTAATGGACCTACTTTATACACTAGACCTGCGTTATATGCACTTCACCCATGTTAATATGCACTGGACTTTTCTAACATAAACTGGGCATTTATAACATAAGCTGTACCAAACAGATTCAAATTGTACCGACACAACACATAACGTAACAAAACAACACACATTGTACCACCACAACACATATTGTACAGACACAACCCAAACTGAACATACACAACTCGTACCGACACAACACAACTCGGTCCTGCACAACATACCTCTCGCTCCCTCCCGTAGTCTCGGTTATTCCCCCTGTTGTCCTCGTAATCCCTCCTGGGGCTCCCTCCCATGTGGTGGGCGCTGGGCCCGAACAATGGCGACTGTGGCACGTGGTGCTCGTGGGCAATCAGGTTGTAGGAGGAGCGGTTGTCTTTCGTGATCTTGTAGTCGGCAGCAGGTCGCGCCATTTTGACTTCTTGTGTGTTCTTCTATGGAAGATCTAAATTCTGTGGAGGAGAGATTCAATCAGAACTATTCAATTCGTTGGGCTCTCCTGTCTCCCTCACATCAACACACATGTGCTATTTCATTCATGCCTCTAAGAATCAAAGGTTGTTAGAGGGCGAGAAAACTACAGTTAATTATGGTGCGCAATTCCTATCGTAACTTTTCCCCCCTCCTTCTTTCAATTTCTCGCTTTAAGATTAACGGATCTTTTAATCCACGAGTCGAAAAACGGGTCTTTGTATCCATGATTTGATAGAAGGATCTTTGTATCAATGATTATTTGATCGAAGGATCTTTGTATCCATGAATAGAGCAACGGATCTTTTTATCCATGATGAGATAAATGGATCTTTGTATACATCATTTCAGTGAAATACTTCAAAATTCGTTGCTCTTTTCACCAATTAATCACACGGTTCATGACGCAATTCGTGACACAATTCATGACACAATTGATCACACATTTCATCACACAATTCCTCATACAATTCATGACACAATTCATGACACAATTGATCACACATTTCATCACACAATTCCTCAAACAATTCTTGAGACAATACACTATTCATTCTAATCATGCAATGCTCGTAGGACAAAGACCAGGCCTGTAAGGCGGGCCGTAATACTTGATGAACAACTTGTTCGGGCCGAAAGATGATAGGACGGGGGAAAAGCATTTAAGAAAATAATAATCGTAAAGTATATTTCGTTACTTCGCGGGCCGCCAAGTGGGTGCAGGCGGGCCATATGCGGCCCGCGGGTCGTAGGGTGTGGGTCATAGACCCATGACGTCATTAAAGCAGTGTTTCTCAGTCTTGGTCGAGACGTAACCGGAGTTAGATGTTTTTCTAGAAGGGCCCCCTAGTGCTCATTGGATAAATTTATCCACAGAAAGAAACGCATGTTAAGCAAAAAATATTGGCGGGTCTGTTTACAAACATAATACAAACCTAAACGAGAAATATAATTACCGTTTAGCGTCAGTTATTTTAAATGGCTGAAAACTGGGGTTGGAGGTTTGGGGGCCCGGACGGTTCGAACGCCCCAGAAAGGTGGTGTTAAAGAAGAAAGGATACAAAAAAAGAAAGACTGCGTTCAAGATGTGTTAAGGATTATAGTAGACTAGCAAAATATCCGCGCTTCGCAGCAGACAGACTTTTTTTAAAGAAAAAAAAAGGTACACAATTATCAAGTATCCGCATATTTCAGATACTATACAATGCATTCCCTTGCGAAAATCAAACCTGCCTCAAATCAATGCCGACTTTTTGTAGGGTCTGTCCTTGGGACCCCGATCCTGATAAGACCCCAATTCTAATGAGTCCCTAATCCCATTCTAAATCCGATCCCGGCGCAATCCCGGTTTTATCCCGTTCCAGGTGGAATCCTATTTATTTGTGGCTCCGGATCCAAGGGGAATCCAGATCCCATTGGGATCCCGATCCCGTCGGTGTCTTGATCCCAGTAAGATACTGATCTCAGTGGATTCCAATGCACTACCGATACCGTTAGGATACCGTTCACTGTGGGATTCCGTTCCACCCATTGACTCTCCTTTCCGATGCTATCCCTTTTCCTGATAGGATCCTGATCCCGGTTTGAGCCCGTTACCCGATGGGATCTCGATTGTATTCTGTTCCCCGATGGAAGCGCGTAACCGATGTGTCGCATTAGGATCCTATTTATCTATGGGGATCATGCTGAGTGCGATTTTGTTTGAATGAGCTTTTAGATCTAATTATATATCCCCGTAGAACAATATAGAACATTCTAGATTAAATTGAATATCCTCCATGAAACGTGCAACAATTACATATCTATGTAATTATTTCTCGAATGCGAAATATTATACAACTAAATTGTGGTACTAACGATAATACATTTAAATTGATACGGGGGCCACGTTTGGGGCCCATTTAATAAAGTACCGTTTTGTTTATGTCTGAGATGGGTGGCTTATAAAAATCATTGAAATAAATTATACATTTAAAACTTGTCCTATTGAAAGTGGTTTACAAATGCCATAGACATAGCTTATTTAAACTATCGAAGTTTCCAGAATATTCTAGATCGGCCTTGAATGGATTGGATATTACATCAAACGATATTTTAAAACGGACGTATTGCTACAGAGCAAGGTCTAGATCCACCTAATCACATAGAACCTATGCTGCTGTCTAACCCTATTGATATCTAAATAGCTTATATTAGAAAAAAAAGAAATGGGGCCCCCGGATATTATGTGTAAATTACCCTTCGGTATTTGAATATGGCTAATCAAGAGTATGTGCATTAAGTTTGGTCAAGATCCATCGATTCATGTAGCAGTATTTGTTGAGCATTTTATTTACATAGCTCACATAGCTCACAAAAATGAGATTTTGGGCCGCCGGTCCCAAACAATTTAGAGTTTTAAAATGACACCTGCCTAACTTTTGTATGTGAGCTGTAAGGAATAAGCATGCCTAATGCCTAATTCAGGCTGCCATCTACTCGAGAAGTTGGAGAATTAGTGATGAGTCAGTCAGGGCTTTGCCTTTTATTAGTAGAGATAAGATATTGTGTTAAGGATAATAGCAGGTCAAGGTATGTGGAAGATTGAATTGAGGAACAGGGCAATGAGACAAGGAGAGGGTGCAAAGAATACAGTAACTTGTTACTTTACAGAAGTAAGGTGCTTTACTGTACAGTGTACTATGTACGGTATATTATGTATAGTGATCGTCAACTGTATATCCGGGTCAGCTGACTGATGTCAATGAACGATAAGAAAAAAAAAAAGGGGGGGGGGAGACTTTTAAAAAAATGAACAGAGGATCTATAAAAAAACAAAAAGTAGATTGACTGGCACCTAGAGTAATGTTCCAAGTTCCAAGGTCACTCTGACTCTTCTGATTTGTATCCTGCGGCAGGCGTAATTTAATAAGACCGGGGCAATTCAAATAACCGACATTTTGGATAATCGAGGGGCTCGGAAAATCAACTCTCTACTGTAACTATGTTTGTAAATCATCAAAGTTATCTTTTCCCTTTGTGCTCAATTTACTGAAATATGTCACAAAAATATAGACCGCATTCAAAGATACACGATAAGTGATTACTTCAATAAAATTTTACGTACTAGGGCTTAACCGGGTACAGTTCTTCCGCCACCAAAAAAAAAAAAAAAAAAAAAAAAAAGCTTTTCATTTTTTTCAATAAAATTTTTCGTACTAGGGCTTAAACGGGTACAGTTTTTCCCCCAACAAAAAAAAAAAAAAAAAAAAAAAAAAGCTTTTCATTTTCTTTAACATGTAACGAAATCTACTGCCCTATGTGGTAGTGAGGGTGCACTGCCTTCGTCAACCGTTTGTGTCGAGGAATAAGCCACTAATAGGAACAGGCAGTTGCCGGATCCCGGAATAGAGATGACGTTGTACGAAAAACTCGTCGACGGAGAAGATACTGTCGTACATTTTATAACAATGACTTGGGAAACAACAGTCGTGGTATAACTAAAATAGCAATACCTTCCTGTAACCAGGCTACGGCAAAGACTCACAGACGCATACGCGCCCGAAGTCAAAGGGCGGCCCATGACCCAGTTCTGTGTGGTGTGCAGCCCATGACCCAGTTCTGTGTGGTGTGCAGCCCCAAAATAAAGAAGTTAAAAAAAAAATAGTGACCTTTTAAAAAAAATCCTTTCTTATGTCAAAATAAACTAACCTATTTACCGGAGTTCAGACGTCACGCATGATGCTCGCTCTGTGACAGAAGAAAATGAGCAATAAAAACACTGAACAATAGTCCCCCCCCCCCACTAAAGAAACAAAATCATCCTTTGGACCCGAATTCAGACGTTGCCCATGAAGCTCGTTGATTTTTTAAAAAAATCTCTGTACTATAAATATGTAACATATAGATTAAAAAAAAAAAATTCTTTTGGGGGGCGGTTTTGAAGAGGAAGCAGGACACACCAGAAGAGATGTGCATTAAACTGTTTTATCAGAGGGACATAACAGACTCAAACTTCATTGCAAAACCATTGAATCGGGTTGTGTATTTTAAATAATTAGTGGGACAAGATATGTTTAGGCTTGAAAAGAAAAGACGCCACGATTAAACGGACGTTTCGGCGAAACGCCTTCTCCAGCAGACAGGACAAAACAAGAAACAACCGATTCTTTTAATTAAAAATAGAAGGGGAGAAGAAAAAAAACGTATGTTTTCGAAAATCGTCAATAATGTGAAAATATAGCTCAATGTTTAGAACAGGATTGCGTTCTAATGTTATTTTTTAGAAACGGAGGTTAAGTTGTTTAAAGTCCAAAAGTGCGTCCATATTATTCTGTGGTGCGTACTGTCACGGTGAAAAATGTAAGTATTATTAAAGTAACATTTTTAAAATTAAAAAAATAGAAATGGATGACAATTAAGGATCACTAGTAATAGAGTATTTTGATTAATATCATGTGGTTGGTGATATGTGGCCGGGTACGAGAGTATTTGGTTGAAGCCATCTGGTGATAGGGATTCGAAAATGTGAATTCATTTTGTTCATTTATCACTCTCGCTGGTGTATTAATGCAAGAAATTAGAGCTGGAATGGATACATCTGATTTGCCCCTGTATTTAACTCCGTTAAAAAGGGATGAGAACCGGGGGGGGGGGGGGGGGGGGGGCTTGATTTGTTCAATATCACGAAGATGTTCGCGGAACTTATCGGTAACCCCCCTCCCCCTTTTTAGGGAAGCCAAGGGTTTAGCTGACAGTTCATATGGGCAAGTCCTACAACGGATTCTTGAACATGGTTTAGTCCCAATGTGAGACGGGTCGGCTAGAAGGTGACCTTGAACCAGTAGGTCACATAGATTGTTTTTTTTTTAAAATCCCGTCTGAAGCCAATAAGTGGAAAAGATGAAAGTGCCCTGTAATGTCAAGGTCAGCAAGGATTAAATTACGATTGTTCAAAAATATTTTTTCGGCAATCCTATGTACTTGAAATTTTAAGTTTAAAGCCTTTAGGTAATAAAAGCATATTTAAAGGCACATTTGAAAATAAAAATCACTTCTCCTATGCCCGGCAGGACGAGTAAATCGGTGCCCTGAACTGGCCTTATTGTTTGCGGTTCATATCACTGGGTGACAATGCCTGGTTGACACGTGATCGATTGTGGTGTTATAATTTCTACGGCATGAAGTCACCAGATCCGGTGCTGGAGTCGGTGTGAACCAAAGTATCGCCTTCATTGCTTAACGGGTACTTTTCATTTCTGTGCGGACTGCCAACGGATCCCAAACTGTGCACACCTGATGTGTCAGCCACCCCATACGAAAACTGTTTGCCGGACGTCGCCAAAATTGGTGTTTTCTTCACCATCATAACCGAAAACGACGGGTTTTTTCTCTTTGTTGTTTTTCCGAGCTCAGACTAAATGGCAAATAAGTGTAACCATAATCCTCTTCTTTTCCCGAATGAATGGATAGGATAGCTGCCAGAGCAATTTAAAGTGACTACAGAGTCCACTCATCGGGTCTACAGGCTGATGGTTTTTCTGGCATCCTTCCGTCACATTGTGACAATGGACGAAAGAACAATGCCTGGGATTTTCCCCCGACACCGGTTCCCAAGGCAGCACCTGGATGAACCCAAGGGAAAACCACATACGTGGATGATACAGTTTGGCTCCAGGAGCGTCGCAGGGGCTGTCGTAATTTTCCTTGTATTAATGTATCCTCCTATGGGACTCCTTCCCCTGGGTTACATTCAGAGTTTCCTTCTCTTAGATGGCTTAGCAACCAAGGTTTCACTTGTACCATCCAAGTTTTCACTGGTACCATTCAAGTTTTCACTGGTACCATCCAAGGTTTCACTAGTACCATCCAAGGTTTCACTTGTACCATCCAAGGTTTCACTTGTACCATCCAGGGTTTCACTGGTACCATCCAAGTTTTCACTTGTACCATCCAGGGTTTCACTTGTAACATCCAAGGTTTCACTTGTACCATCCAAGGTTTCACTTGTACCATCCAAGGTTTCACTGGTACCATCCAAGTTTTCACTGGTACCATCCAAGTTTTCACTTGTACCATCCACCCGAACAAAATAACGAATAAAATCCATTAAAAAAAATAAAGAATAAAATAATGCCATTTCTTCAACCTAAACCAAAAAAAATACTCATAAAATAATTATTACAAGTCAAAATATAATCAAGTTTATAATTTTTAAAAGTAGATTAAATGATTAAGATGTTTTAAGGAAAGCTTTCTGGTTCTGGTTCTGGTAATGTTTCGTTGCTGCATCCATGTACTGGCATCTATGCAACGGTTGGGGATATGCTGTTGCTATTCTAACAGCTCCTAGCTGATGCCAGGGCAGCCTTGAAGCTTTCAGACTTAGAGTTTGTGTTACACTGTCACTATCCCATCAATTACTTACTTTAACCAATTCGAGTTGTGGTCAACACAGAACGACGTAACAACCCTTTTGAAGCCGAATATCAAGGATTGAGGACCGCGTTCAGAAGAAGTGCAGAGTTGTAATTGTTGGGCTCTTATTTACGGTTCTTTACACCATTTTGAGAACTGCTGTCTTGGGGTTTTAAAAAAAATATTTAAGCCAAGACGTTTTCAGACAACCCAAAAGTTGTTTTACGCCATGCATGCACGAATGTATCCACACACAATTATTTAACACCGCGCTGTTCAACGATAAGATTGGATTAGAGGATTAGTGGAGGCGTTAAAGAAATAATTCTTTTAAATCTGAGCGTTCTCACACTGGATATAAATATGACAATGCAGAAAATGGAGTTTAGTAATATACTGACAAGACTATGGAGCTAAATGTACATACTTACAGTACAATTGTCATAAAACTTAATTCGAAAAGTATGTAAAAAAAAAAAAATTAAAAATAAAACGTTCAAAATAAGGATATGCATGGGTGATTTTGAGAAGCATTGGATTAGATGACAAGTCATGCGTGATTTAGGTGGTATCAGAAGGGAGTTTTTAATTGGGGGGGGGGATGAGGATAATACATGGTGTTCTGTAATTATAGTGTAGCTTACAGTTTGTACCTAGAATTACTGGTGACTTGTAGATAAGGGCATGGTGACTTGTGTGGATTATCACACGGTGACATATGTAAATCAGCAACATGGTGACGTAGGTGAATTATCGCTAGGGTAAATTATGTAAATTAAATCACGGTGTCTTATGTAGATTATCACACCGCAACTCATGTGGATTATCGCACGGTTTCTTGCACAGATTGGCACATAATAAAAATGTGTACATTCGGACATGGCTGACTTATTCGAAAGTTTCGTGAGAGGCCGCCATTTTAAGACACTGGAGGCGTGATACTCTTGTCCGTGTTTTTTTTTTTAAATGTGGATCGACAACTCCAATGCTTTTTAAACATCTGTTTTAGCTGTTAAACCAAAAGCTATGAGATGAGATGCGAAGAGGCCGCCATTTTAAGACACTGGAGGCGTGATACTCTTGTCCGTGTTTTTTTTTTTTAAATGTGGATCGACAACTCTAATGCTTTTTAAACATCTGTTTTAGCTGTTAAACTAAAAGCTATGAGATGAGATGCGGGAAAAAAAAAAAAAAAAAAAAAAAAAAAAATCAAAAACATTATTGAGACATTCTTGCCAGCTTGAAAATGATTCACGGCAATATTAAACGTGTCTACATAATATTCTCTAATCTTAAATTGATTAATCTGAAAAGTCTACACAATACTCTCTGGTCTTTTATTCAGGACACACTCTATAAAAAAGGCACCGCGTCACCCCCTCCCCGAGTGAGGTATGCACTGGCCTTGTAGAGCTCATGTTACTGTGTAGGTAAAAATAAAAGGCAATGAAAAGGGTACGCCCTGGAAAATATAAAAAAATAATTACTTGCAGTATAATTAAAAATAAAATAAAAACAGATATTAGATTCCTTTTGTCTTCGAGCTACTTCGAGCTACCTCAACAAAGTTCTGTCCATTGTGTCGGTGTTTGTCATTGCCAATATGTCTTTTTGTCATTGCCAATATGTCTTTTCATTCCATTGCTTGCTCCCATGTATGTCATTCATTGTCATACATTTCTTATCTCATCTTTGACGTCATCATAATGTTCAAAAGCTACTTATGGAGAAAGTGTTATTTTCGTGTCATTCCTAAGTTCAATTGCTATTTGTTAGAAATTTAGTTACAGTGTATTTAGTTGACTTTGAATAGAATCTAAGAAAAAGCTAATTTGTTCATTTTAAAAGTACGCTTGAAAGTGGATAGCTACACAGCTAGAAAGATAGACAGCTACGCGGCTACGCGGTTACGCGGCTAGACAGCTAGACAACGAGACAGCCAGACAGGTACACCGGTACACAGCTAGACAGCTACATAACAAGAAAGCTAGACATATATACAGCTAGTCAGCTAGGCAGCTGGAATATAGACAGCTAGATAGATAAACAGCTAGAAAGCTACCCACAGCTAGACAGATAGGCAGCTAGAAATCTACACAGCTACACATCAACACTGCTAGACTGCTACACAGCTAGACAGTTACACAGCTAGACAGATACACAGATACACAGCTAGACAGATACACAGCTAGACAGATACACCGCTACACAGCTAGACATCGAGTGATTTGGATACTTTCTCTTGCCAGTTCAATATTTTTTTTAGCTGATCTTATACATGCATAACATTCGGGCCACTAAACAAAAGACGGAGTGTTAAACCAAAGACGGAGTGTTAAACCAAAGACGGAGTGTTAAACCCAGCGATCTGTCCCAGACGATGTAAGCATTCATTGCATCCTCCATTGAGTACCCAAACCACTAATTTTTGTCTTGTTTTTTTGGCGAAATATCACACATAATTATTCGCTAGGTATGTGTATGCATGTCTGTATGGCTGTAACGCTATTTCAATCGGCGGGCTAAAATAAAATTCCCAAGAAGTCAGCACTGATTGGGAATCTTACAAAGGGCGTTACTGGAATGCATGTTTTGTCAAGTAACTTCAGCAGACGGGAAGTTCATGCATTGCCACCGCCATTTGTTTGGCGGGTTTATCTCTAGGTCTAGCGCTAAAATAAAATTTGGTTTAAAGTCTCTTCAACATTCTACAGACGTGTATATATATAAAAGGTTGCCCTCTAGGAGGTTATAAATGCATACAAAATAGATCAATATAAGGTATCGAGTACATTCCCGACGCATATTTTCGTCTAGGAATGTCATCTGACGGAACACGAAACGTGGCAACGGATCTAGTATTTCACCAGTGAGTACGATATGGCGCTGTGTAATCTAACAAAACGATACGGGAGGGTCGCCTAGACACCGGAAGATGGACTTTTTAACGAGAAAAATAACCAATAAACTTACATAGCAACTTATTTTAATATACAAAAATAGACTGTTTGGTATAACTGTTCAACATTTTAGGAAGTCTGAAAAAGATTTTTAAAAAATTTGCTACTAATTTCTAAAACAGAAGACACATCTTTAATGATGTATGCTTCTGCATTTAATAATTTTCTGAACTAAATCTTCGTGGCTCACATAGGCATCTTGACTAAAGAGCCAATGCTCCTCTCAGTATTTCATATTCAAACTTAAACCTTTTGTATTTACCTGAACTTTAGAATCCTAGAATTCCTTCCTGTATCCCATATACACGTTCGTACAAACCGCATGCCAGATTAGCACGGATAGCTCCCACCACGACTAAAAATCTGGCCACTTCCTTTTGTTTACCCTGGCATACAGCACCTATCACCTAGACACCAGTGAAATCACCCCCCGGCTCTCCACTAACTGTATCGCCTATTTTGTTTTGTCAGTTTAGATATTGATTTTTTTATATTTTTTTTTTGACTTACGAAAAAGTTCTATCGATCACTCTCTCCAATCACACATTCCCACCTCACCCCAACCCCCCCCCCCCTGGCCGGAACACACCAACTCCTCATTCCAATACCCCATTGAGGCGTACCGTAGTCATATTTCTTATACAGGTGATTGAAAAGCGTTCAGTCCCAGACCGCCCGGTCAGAGCCTTTCACCCTTTGGTAAGCATTCATTTCCTTAACGGTGGCGTGAGGGGTGGGGGGAGGGCACTGGTGCCAGGGGCGGGGGCAGGGGGTGGGGAAAGGAAGGAGGGGGCGCAATTTCCATCGTTTCTCTTTAATATCGGACAAAACCAGGTCCTGTACCTGATGTGTTATCAGACGTTTTTGCCCCACCCCCCTCCACATGGCCCTCAACCCCCACTGACTTCACAGTGAAAGGGCCAAGGCTCCGTTTTGCAGCCGATTAACTTAATCGATCGATGTCTTCGAGGATCTACCTCCCCCTACCCACTCTCCACTCCCCACTCGCCACTCTCCACTTTCAATGCCTTACATAAATATTGGCAGTAGCTGAGCGCGTTAAACTACTGTAATGTTATTGGACGAGGCAATAGCCGTGAAGGGTTTCTTCATTTTTTAAAAATATATATATATATTTTTGCAGGGGGCTGTTGACGACGGGTGAGACTCTCTTTTCACAAAACCCCCTTGTTATTTGATGCAGAATTGTGTGATATGATAGCAAGTGTGGGATTTAGGCATCTATGCGGTTCTACATCCTATCCCGATAACACCCCCCCCCACCCCCACCTCGGTCTCGGAAAATCTTTTGTCATTATCAGTAAAATTATTTGTAATGTAGATTTATCTTAATATCATATTCATATGCCCCACTCAAAGGTCACTTTGTGTGTGTGTGTGTGTGTGTGACTCAAGTCAATGTTCCTAGATCAGTTCATGAAGACACGCCCTTGTGACCGCATTGTTGACTTTAGTCTATCAAACAACCCTCGGAACCTCAAGAATTATTGTAAGGGAGCAATAGCGAAAATCTCGCCTTTAATTTATATGTAAATCTGTGGTTCTCAAACTTCATAATTTCGTGACCCTTTAAAACAGTTCCTCATGTTGTGCTACCCCCCCCCCTCCCCCCACATAAAATTATTTTCGTGGCTACTTCATAAACATGTGTTTTCCGATGGTCTTAGGCGACCCCTGTGTACGTGTCGTTCGACCCCTCTCCCCCCAAATGGGTCGCGATGGTTGAGAACCGCTGATTGAAAGGATTATGAAACACCATTTCAAATTGTTCCCTACACAAATGAACAACTCAGAAAGGTCCTGAATGTTCTAGTCCACTGCGTCAGCCGCGTCTAGTGAAACGAAAAAGATCAACTGTACACACAAACATTTTTTTTACAAAAATCCTTTATATTAACTTCACTTATGTTGGTGGGTGGCCGGCTGGAAAAATTTTCGGACGGCTAATCGACCCACTTCCCGTGAACCTATCTCGCTGAGCTGAAACTCGGCCTATAGACTCGACGCCGATGACAACGCAATATTTCAAATTTTCAGCCTCCCCCGACCAAAAAAAAAAAAAATAAAAAAAAAACAAACAACAACCATAAAATAAACAATAATGTGTTTCCTCATGTGTTTCCTCATGTGTTTCCTCATGTGTTTCCTCATGTGTTTCCTCATGTGTTTCCTCATGTGTTTCCTCATGTGTTTCCTCATGTGTTTCCTCATGTGTTTCCTCATGTGTTTCCTCATGTGTTTCCTCATGTGTTTCCTCATGTGTTTCCTCATGTGTTTCCTCATGTGTTTCCTCATGTGTTTCCTCATGTGTTTCCTCATGTGTTTCCTCATGTGTTTCCTCATGTGTTTCCTCATGTGTTTCCTCATGTGTTTCCTCATGTGTTTCCTCATGTGTTTCCTCATGTGTTTCCTCATGTGTTTCCTCATGTGTTTCCTCATGTGTTTCCTCATGTGTTTCCTCATGTGTTTCCTCATGTGTTTCCTCATGTGTTTCCTCATGTGTTTCCTCATGTGTTTCCTCATGTGTTTCCTCATGTGTTTCCTCATGTGTTTCCTCATGTGTTTCCTCATGTGTTTCCTCATGTGTTTCCTCATGTGTTTCCTCATGTGTTTCCTCATGTGTTTCCTCATGTGTTTCCTCATGTGTTTCCTCATGTGTTTCCTCATGTGTTTCCTCATGTGTTTCCTCATGTGTTTCCTCATGTGTTTCCTCATGTGTTTCCTCATGTGTTTCCTCATGTGTTTCCTCATGTGTTTCCTCATGTGTTTCCTCATGTGTTTCCTCATGTGTTTCCTCATGTGTTTCCTCATGTGTTTCCTCATGTGTTTCCTCATGTGTTTCCTCATGTGTTTCCTCATGTGTTTCCTCATGTGTTTCCTCATGTGTTTCCTCATGTGTTTCCTCATGTGTTTCCTCATGTGTTTCCTCATGTGTTTCCTCATGTGTTTCCTCATGTGTTTCCTCATGTGTTTCCTCATGTGTTTCCTCATGTGTTTCCTCATGTGCTTCCTCGTGTGTTTCCTCGTGTGTTTCCTCGTGTGTTTCCTCATGTGTTTCCTCGTGTGTTTCCTCATGTGTTTCCTCGTGTGTTTCCTCATGTGTTTCCTCATGTGTTTCCTCATGTGCTTCCTCGTGTGTTTACTCGTGTGTTTTCTCGTGTGTTTCCTCATGTGTTTCCTCGTGTGTTTCCTCATGTGTTTCCTCGTGTGTTTCCTCGTGTGTTTCCTCGTGTGTTTCCTCATGTGTTTCCTCATGTGTTTCCTCGTGTGTTTCCTCATGTGTTTCCTCATGTGTTTCCTCATGTGTTTCCTCATGTGTTTCCTCGTGTGTTTCCTCGTGTTTCCATGGGGAAATGTTGGAAAATTCCCGATATCGGCGCTAAACGAGATTCTTGAAATGTATCATCGCCAAGTGCGTTTGGTGTGTAATATTTTCGTTTGTTTTTTTCTGAAATAGTTGGTGGGGAAGCGGATGGGTCATTAGAATATGAATAAACTTCAAGGGCGGGGAAACAAATATGCCGTTGTGGGGGTTGGGGGTTGGGGGGGGGGTTGGGGGGGGGTTGGGGGGGGTGGGGGGACGTTAATTGGGAATCTTAAAAAGTGCGTTACTTGTATGCATATTTTTTGTTTCAAATTGTCAGACCCCCACCCCCACCCCCCCCCCCCCCCCCCC